AATACAAAAAGGGTTGAAAGTGCGTTTTTTCAAATGGAACACCCTGTATATTATGAAACATCCTGAGATATGACTGAATTTCCTTCGAATTAAAAATTTGACAATTAGTGCATTAGTAATGATACCATTGTGTGTTCCTCAACGGAAGTGACTCGAAAAGAATTGAAATGGAGGAAAATAAGTATTCAAACGAAGTTCTGATGAAATTGTTTTTTCTTCATGGAAAATGTGATGAAATTATAGCAAGAACGTGCAGAAAATTCAATGAAACATATCCTGATCTACAACCAACGAGCAAAGAGAAGTTTGTACGATTACAATATAATTTCATTAATTATTTGTCAAAAATTAGAAAACATTCACAATAAATTTTCAAAATGCCGACCATTGGCTTCCAAACATTTCAAAATCCGGGTATTTGGAGATACAGTTGTAGTCCTACTTATTTCACTGGCATCTAGCTCTTCAATGCAGTTGATGATCCGTTGGCACAGATCTTGTTCACTGTGCACTGGTGTCATGCATTCTTTTCTCTACAAATCACCCCACAAGAAAAAATCAAGTGGCGTGAGATTGGGTGATCTCGCAGGCCAATTCCACGGACCCAAACGTCTGAACCAGCGATCGTCGAACATTTCGAACAACTCTGTTGTTACCTCCCTAGTGCAATGAGCCGGTGCTCCATCCAGTTGAAACCAACTGCTACGATACTCTTCTATAATGACAGATTGTTCAAGAAGTCGTTCACAACTGGCCTTAGAATTTGAAGATATCGAGAATTCAACGGTTCATCGTAAATAAGAAAACTTATTCGGTTATCCTTTAGAAGGCAAAATACGTTGAAACTAAACTTTTCCTGATATCCCATTTACTTGTCAACATTTGGATTTTGATCAGCCCAGGAATGCTCGTTCCTTCTATTAAAAATTTCTTCACTGAAAAATTTTGATTAGCCTGTCCAAATTATTTTTTTCAAGAAGTTAGGATCTTTTTGGATGCGAATAAGGATTGTTTCGCAAAATTGTACCCTATTTTGATAATCTTCTAGTTTAAGACCTTGAACTTTTATAAACTTGTATTGGTATGATTATGAGGGATCTTTTGAACAGAAGCACGATCCAAGCCTAAATCATATTCGGCACTTCTAGTGGAAGCTTGGGAATTACCGTGGAAATAGGCCAAAACATTTATTATGTTATCTTCATTTGAGGTTATAGGCGTCGGTAAATGTCGTGTCGTTTTCAATTTTGATTCATAATAAATGAAATTATGTTGTAATCGTACAAACTTCTTTCTGTTCATTGGTTGTAGATCAGAATACGTTTCATTGAATTTTCTGCACGTTCTTGCTATAATTCCCTCACATTTTCCATGAAGAATAAGCAATTTCATCAGAACTTATTTTTTTTCATTTCAATTCTTTTCGAGTTACTTCCGTTGAGAAACACACTAATGCACTAATTGTCAAATGTTCATAATAGTAGAAGATCCGAACCTAAATCGACCTTCACCGAGCTGATAATAGAACGAAATATACCTATTTTAGCTTAAATAATGACATAATATTATATTGCATCGAAAACACGTGTTATTGTGTATCGTTGTGCTAAAAAATGCCTGAAAAGTGTTTTTTGTGTGGCTCGGACAATTCTTTAAAGTGATTTTACTGATGAAACTTTTAAAAATTGTTCGTTAAAGCTAGCTTTTTGTAAAGAAAAACTTTTTATATACTGAAATATCAGTTGCTCCAAAATGACACGCACTGTTTACTATATGAAGGGTAGTAGAGGTACCTCTACCCTCCATAGTTTACACACCGAGCATTCGCACTTTCTACTATTCAGGGTCCCATCACAAGCGACTGCGATGTTGGGTCCTTTATTAATACACAGTATACTTACCTCGGATCTCTCTGTCACACAATTCCACGCGCGTTGAAATTAAAATCTTTTAAATTCGCAAACCCCTAATAGGATCGGAATTTTCGCAGACAACTCTATATCAACGTGTTCGCAATTAAACAGCGCTTATGATGATATAATTTTTTTTTTAATTATCCAATCCAGTGAAAGTAACTGGCATCGATATACCTGTGTTTACCTGACAACCCAGTAGTTCGCCCAGGTAAATAGTAGACAACCCAACGGCTGCACATTCTATACGTTTTATACTTTCAGTCAGGACAAATTTTTTTGATTATCCCGATGTTGCAACATTTAATTAAAAATCATTTTTCGAAAAAAAATTATCCCGATGTTGCAACATTTAATTAAAAATCATTTTTCGAAAAAAAATTATAAAAATAGTCTGCCCAGGATTTTTTTAGCAAACCCATTTTCAATATGTTTTCTAATATACTAAATTCATGATAAAATATATTTCGTTCTATTATCAGCTCGGTGAAGGTCGATTTAGGTTCGGATCTTAGACTATAATGCCATGTACCATCATGACATTCAATAGCCACCTTAGATGAATATGTGAAAAATAATTCTATGTTCTTAGGAAATTGCTCCTATCTCGGAATTCTGGTTAATTAGGTATATGAACATGATATATCAATTCGAAGGAAATTTAGTCATATTTCAGGATATCTCATAATATATAGGGTGTTCCATTTCGAAAAACGCACTTTCAACCTATCTAGCAGTAAGATTATGAATTTTGAACTACCCTGTATAACGCAGAACAAACTTCTACCCACAGAATCGATATACTTACATGATCTTGATGAACTGAACACGAAATTGCAACTATACCTAAGAATCCAAATACCGTAGAAATAAAGATTCAATTCGAGCTATGTTTTGGATAAAAATATGCAAAATAATCAATATCTCAAAAACCGTTAGAGATAGGTATGAGGCAGAAATAATCAGGAAGTTATGATAAGTTCAAAAATACGGTAATATACAGGGTGTCTCGTTTGAAATAACAAAGATGCTACTACTTTCTTGTATAAGTGGCAACGCTGCATTGCTGAGAATATTTCAGATCGCTAGATCAAGAGCAATTACATGAGTAACCAAATTTTCAGAATGATCTCATGTCCCGTTCTCCGTGAACGTCTAAGGTGCCATCGACGGTGACCCACCCTGTATAACTCGTGAGATATCGTTGATAAAGACGAACATTTTGAGAAATTGACTGAACAATCTCTGTTGAATACCTTATACTGAAACCCTATCAACAATAAGTAGCTCTATAGTAACAATAAGTTTTCTTTTATGAATGTCGATTGAAAGATAGGGTGGGTCACGGTGGATGGCCTATTAGAAAGTATTTGGAGAACGAAAAAACAGAACATTCTGAAAATTGAGGTGCTTCGATAATTGAACATTCTCTATTCGTCTAAAATGTTTTCATCGATACAGTGTTGCCACTTCTATCAGAAACATCTAGCAACTTTATTATTTCAAATGGAACACCCTGTATTTTATTGCATTTTAAGATTCTTCCTGAGGAGCTGATTTCATCGATGTATCATACTTGGGTTCAAGCAGAAATGATTACAGAGATATAGGGTATTCAAAATCTAGATTTTTCAATTTTAGGATTTGTTTGCGTCAAGATTCAGAATTCTGATCACCCTGTATCTGTTCAAATCAAATGTCAGTGGATAGTGAATCGAGAGTAAAGATAGGGACATGAAGACCATTTTGATCGATAATGAATAGTTTCGGCACAAAAAAATCCCAAAATTGAAAAATCTCGATTTTGAACACCCTATATCTCTGTAATCATTCCTGCTAGACTCCAAGTGTGAGACATCCATAAAATCAGCTCTTCAGGAAGAATCTGAAAATACGATAAAATACAGGGTGCTCCAGTTGAAATAACGAAGTTGCTAGTTGTTTCTGATAGATAGATAGGCTCGGTGGTCGAGAGCGTGAAGGCGCTGAGTTCGTATGGGGACTCCCACCGAGACATAGGTTCGAATCCTAGTTAGGCCATGGATGTTTGTGTTTGTATGTATACCTAACCCCGCACAAGTTTCGACTTATGGGACCAACGAGGTATGCAATGGCAAAAAAAGTGGCAACACTGTATCGATGAAAACATTTTAGACGAATAGAGAATGTTCAATTATCAAAGCATACTGATTTTCAGAATGTTTTGTTTTTTCGTTCTCCAGATACTTCTAATAGGCCATCCAGCGTGACCCACACTGTATATTATTTATTGATGTTATGGTGAGGTCGTGTCGGGGAAATGCTGGCAGAGCATCATTACCCCTCTGCCGAATGAAACAATATGTAGAGCAATAGACAATTTTCCAGATGCCAAGAATTAATCGTAGGCTGATCACAGAACGACAGAAATGCGAAAGGGTCAAAATATATGATTAGTGTGTGGCGATTACGGGAATAGTGCAGATATTTGGTTGAAATGCAGTCTCTGTGGCAATTGGGCACATAAACAGTGTGCTGATACTGAAAAGAAAATTTACTTCTGATTATTGCATTTAAATTACATATTCAAATTTTTGGGGTCATCTGCCACTATTACCCCAACTATCTGGGGGTAATAGGAGCCATCCAATTCTTTTTTATTTATTCTGTGAAAAAAATGTTTTTGTAAATATTCAACAAATTTTCATCCACAGGAATATCATGTTTATTCGTTCCCTCGTTTTTGTGATCAATTGTCATGATATAATCCACTTATAAAAAAAAATCCTCAAGGGGGCCACCATTCCCCTGCTCTATCTATCTGTATATCATATGTTGAATTTTATTGATGACATAAGTGTTATATGAACATATGCTTCGGTAACTGAATGCAAAAATATAAGAATTTCAATCGCTATGAAGTATATGTAAGTAGTTCATTTTTGGTCAATATCCCATCCCAATGTCACTGTCGAGTTCAATACATCAATTATGCAGATCAATAAACAAATTACTAACATATTATCAAAAATATACGTGCCTTGGTTGTCTATAGAGTGAATTGAACCTGAATATTATAAAAAGTGAAAATTCAAATGTCGGCGGGTTATTTATGGTTTGATTGAGTTGATGATAACATGTACGATCTGAAGCGGACAGTGTTTTGTTTTTTAGTGGTATATATTGTGAATGTAAGTAATTTTTCACTACTAATATTTTGAAATTCAACAGTCTTTTCTGAATGACTTCTCGGTTACTATTTTGGTAGAAAAAATCAAAATTCACAAAAATCTCTAGTAATGATTATACAGGGTGTTCGAATTCTGTTTACCTAAAAAGATACATCAAAGGGAAGAAATAATTCTGTAGACCAACCTACCTGTGAGGAATCATTCCAATCAACATCCCAAGTACAATTGTCAAAATTAAACGAGTGTATTTTCAGGATAGCCTCCAAATGAGGTCTCGAGTTCAGTATCTGATCTATTTCGTATGAATAAGACGGATCATTTAGAAAATAGGTCCAATTCAGTATACACGGGGTGCAGATTTTTGTACATTGATTTTGAGAGGATAAAAAATTGAAAAACTTTCCTCGATGAACATTCCTTCAAGAATGCTTCATAACTCATTTATCAGAAACGTTGATTCCTTGTGATTTTTTCTAAAATTAGAAATCTTAGTCACATGCACTGCACTAGAAACTTTCATTAATACTAATTTCTTAATTTCATAGGAAGCTCAAGAATAGTCATTCAAAAAGTTGTATCTTCGTAGTTTCAGTCTTTACTCTAGATAGTAATTTCAAACTGTGCAATAACCTCCAGGCTTTTTGACTCATTTACTGAAACAAATTCAGGGTGCAATTCAATGGATGAAGGAAAATATAGGATATGGTTCCTCAGCTCGTTTCAAGAAGAGAAGTTCACATGAACATATGCCATAAATCTCTCAACTTTTGAACTATAGGGTGTTAAAATTTCATTTTATCTCTTTTGATTAATGAAACTTCCACAATGTGAAAAACTGTAGCGTTTATGAATACTTGTCAAAATCGCAACGTGATCGATCAAATGTTATTATTTTGAAAACAAAATAGGACACTATAGCCTATTAGTACAGAATGATTTCGTTAAGCCACAAATGCATGAAGACAGTTTATTTTTTAGCGCGGAAACGATATGTCGAACGAAAAAAATTTAGGGCGTTAAATTGTTGCAAAATGAGTGGGGATTCCAAAAAGGAGTTTTATCCTTGGAAAAATCAAGGGCGTACATTTTTTGAAATCTTCTGCATCAAAGAATACCTATTAGTGCTTAGTAGTTGCATGTCAAATTTCATGTAAATATCTGAAACAATATTGAAGTTAAATTGAGAAAACGATTTTTTTCTTAATATTTTAAGACCCTATAGCTCGAAGGTTAAGAGGTTAAGGGCATAGGTTCATATAAACATTTCTTATCAAAATGAGTTAAGAAACCATATCCTCCATTTTTTGCCATCAATCAAATTACACCCTGTATATCGATCAATAAATACAAACTGGAAAGCGAAAAAATCTACACTCACCGGCACAAAGTTCCGCCACCCTGAAATTTTGTCCAAGTATGATGTTTTATAACTTACTCAGTTTTTATCCGATTTTCATGATTTTGTTATCTGTTTGTAGATCCATTCAGTATCAATTTTTGATTATAGGCTATATTATACAGGAGGAAGTCAAAATGTTGTTTTTTTGTCGTAATTTAAAAACACCCTGAAGGGAAACTGAGGTGGATAATTTTGTTTACATACTGTTTCTTGTAATCTCTGATGTATTATAAACATTTCTTTTTCGGATTCATTACATTATCTCATTCGTGCTGCGAGCTGCAAAATTTTAAATGAAACGATGTTATTTTCTGAAAATGTATGTACAGTCGCAATCAAAAAAAGCGTACAAGTAAATTACAGAGAGAAATTAACGTCATCCTATTCTGCATAAAACGGGCTATCGGGAATGATTGTTCACCAAATGTTGACAGTAAAGTTGTCATAGGTTCTCGAAAACACAAAGCATTGGCTGAGCAAGTTTTACACAACTAGAACTAGGAACCCGAAATCCTCTCTTTTTAGTACTCGTACGCTTTTTTATTGAATACGACTGTATGTTGACCTTTCGGTTGAAAATTATCGACGTTGACAGTTTGACAGTGACAAAATTATAATTTGTTGTGTGTCAATATATTAACTCCAGCAGACGTGGGTAGAATTGTTGCGTTATATAATAATATAGAGGATGGCCGTAGCAAAAGTTTTGTCGCCCGTACTCGTAAATGTTTAGAATATATCAGAGATTACAATAAACAGTATGTAAACAAAATTAGCCACCTCAGATTCCCTACAGGGTGTTTCGAAATTACGACAAAAAACAATATTTTGATTTTCTCCTGTATAATATGGCCTAATCGAAAAATGGTACTTTATAAAATAATTAAAGGAAAACATGATAAATGGATCTACAAACTGAGAACAAAATCATGAAAATCGGATGAAAAATAAATGAGTTAGAAAACATCAAACTTGGACAAAATTTCAGGGTGGCGGAATTTTGTGCCGGTGAGTGTATATTCGTTCATAAAAATATAAACAACAGTTTGATGTGATGATCTCATCTCGAAATTCAAGATGTACCCCACGAAGAAAAACACTAAAAATTATTGTCTTGAATTTATATTTCTGCTATGTAGGCATCTGAAAATAATTCATCTAATTCTGAGAAAATAATATAGATATTATGTATGAAATTTATTGAAAAACAGTTATTCATCTATTTTTGATTATCTAGAATACATTGAAATTGAATTGATGAAAATATTTTCAATTGAAATATCTGATGAAGAACAATCATATCCGTCATGCAGATCTTCTAATTATAAAACACAGTTCTTTGCTCGACTATGCATCATTATTTTGTGTTGGCTTTCCACAAAAAATCATTGTAAATCATCTTAAATGCCAGTATTTTGGTCTTAGCTATCGAACGAATGATAACAACAATGCTGTTCAACAATAGCTCAAATTGAAATTCTATTCGATTTGAGTAAACCTCACTTTTATGAATATGGCTCCTGATGGAAAATAAGTTTAAAAGTTACTATCGAAATGTATTAGTTAGATATACGTGACTAGAAATTGAGTTTTATTCTCAGAATTGAAAATTACTCAAAGGTAATAATTGAAGTTGAAATTTCTAATATCTTAGGTTGAATAAGGCCAAATATTTCCTCAATTATCAGCTAACGAATGAAGTAGCGACAACGTCATAGAAACGTCAGTAATTAGCTTAAAATAAATGCTATAGTGAAGTTCTCTTGGAAAGGTGAGCGTCACCAGAGAAATTATTCAAAGTTCCGAAAACTCATGAGTAATTTTGAAGTTTTGCTTTCAAAAAATTCGCCATTGAAAAAATATGGTGGAAGACACTTTAAATATATGGGGTTCTCCTGAAATAAGCATATATATTCGGTACATCGATATGATACATTTTAATAACGAGAAATTTCATCTCAAAAATCGAACGAACAACGGAAAAAAGTACCTACGCCACTTGAAAACAATTTAAATGAGGAAGTTGAAAAAATTACATTTCCATTTCTAACTATTATTTTTCCAATTGCAACCATTTTTCTTCGACGAATTCAACGATACCAATTTATTCGCGATTGGATTGAAGATAAGAAAATAAATTTGATACCACTAAGGAAAATATTGCCAATAGTTATTAATTCACATTTGTCAAGTGTGCCATGAATAGCCATAATGGATAATATTTTGCAGCAATTTTTTTTCGTGTCTTCTTTGGAAAACAAATGGAAATGACAATGACCTCATGAGCAGACAGTAAAACTATCTTTATTATCGTTAAATTTTATTCATAATCAAAGTGGAAAGTGGATGCCTGAATGTTCTGTTTTCCAAAGAAGATCCGAAAAAAATGACTACAAAATATTATGAATCATGGCTATCCATGGCACACTTGATGAATGTGAATGAATAAATATCCAGTATTACCATTAATATGATTAATATTAAATTTATGTTATTATTTTTAATCCAAACTCGAATAATTGACTATCATTAGATTCGTGATAAAATCCATTTTTCGGACAGTACTTGTCAAAAATTTGGACACAGAAATGTGATTTTGTCAACTTGTCTTTCTCTCATTTATCATACTAGTCACTAAAACTTCAGGATAATAATTTCATGACATCAGCTGAGGTCCTTAGATGAGTTCACGTCCGATCAAGGCATCCAGATGCAATATCAAAAGTGACTATAAAAAAATAAGTTTCTGAAAATGTCATACTCTGATTCATCAAAACTGTTATAATATACAGGATGTTGCATTTCAAAATTCGAAACCGGAAGTGACCGAGAAGTGAACAATATGCGAAAACATTTTTGAATTTCATTTCAATACACCAAATATCCTTGAAGTTATGGCTCGTCGTTGAAAATGTTTATTGAAATGATATAGGTAATTGTGAAACATTCATTCACGATCATGCCACATCGAATGTATTTCCCCGACCCACCCCCAATTCTTCCAGATGAGATGTTTGGAAGAAGATGGTGTTCTTACTCTAGGCTGGTTGCCATATGGCTACATTGGTCAAAAACTGAACACACTTATAAGGTTCTTGTTCATAGAAAATCCGTAAGAGGCACTGATATCGTCATAATTTGAATAGCCATCGGACCTAATTACAACAATGACGACAAACAAATACAGAAATGGTGTAGTTACGTACATTTTTGATAGTGCTTAATGACATTTTGATGATTGAGTTTCTATTTTCATTTCGAATAGAATTTGTACAGCGACATCTATATTAGAATCAGATGTGACATGAACCTTATATTGCGATTATCAATTGTCAAGTCCCAGGCAACCAGATGACGTTTCAGTGACGTCTTTTCACGTCAGTTTAATGACCAAGGTGACGTCAGGAGTTGACGACGTATGACGTTATGAATTACGTGAATAAGTCACAGCCCAATGACGTCATATTACTTACGGTTATTGACGTCATATACTCACCAAACTGTGACGTCGTAATGACGTCAAAATGACGTTCAAATTTGATGATGACACGTAAAAAAGTTTCCTCGAACATGGTGTGATAATCACCAATGACATCTGATGACATATAATATTGATCATGCATTGGTGAGCCTGCTTGGTGGTATCCCTCAGTACCTACGCATTTCCATCAGAATAAAATCAGTTATACTCGTATTTGTATCAAAACTGATGTAGTTTGTGTCGACGAGATGTAAACAAACCATCTAAATAGAAAATCAATGAAAAATTTTCTAAATGACGAAGCTTACCAAATTGGTACATCACACCGACGTGATTTTTAGACGTCATAGATACGTCACTGCAACGTCATAAAAGTGACGGTTTCAATATAGGTACACCTATATTATCATTTGTATATATATACATATATAGCTTCATTGGTTTCCGAGATAAAGAGGGTGTCAAAGTTTGAAAAAAGTTTTCTCTTACTTTTTGGGTATATATAATTCCAATAAAACTTGCATGTTGATTTGTTTCGATGAGTTATACTTCTATCAACGTTAGAAGCATATAGGTATATGAAATTACCAAGACGTACATGTTTCTATAAATGTAAGTAAAAATGATGAAAGAACGATTTTTCTGAGAACTTTTCGACACTGAAAATGCCCATAGGTACGTCACAAACCTAACGGTTTCATATGATAATGTAAGTATACATGGTTTAGATATGGTCTGGGAAACATGGACGTCAACAGGACGTCCCTGCCACGTCATGAAACTGACGTCTCATTTTACCCTTCTGAGTGACGTTCACTCGACGTCGAGATGATGACGTGATTATCACGTCATAGAAAGTACGTCATAGTAACGTCATGATTTGGTGTCTGACGAAAAATCAGCAGTAGAGGACGTCACAGTGACGTGATTATTCGTCATCTGGTTACCTGGGGTTTGGGGAAAACGCGCATCAGTGAAAACACCATATCAATTAGGAACATCTCACTTCCAGATTGCAGCAGAAAATGCCGCCGACGATCTGGACCTCTCCCGTGTCTTCCGCACCCCCAAAGATTTCTCGAGGGTGAATTTCGACCATTTCGAGATCCTCGAACGCAACAACTTCGACCCCACCACCCCTGCGGCTCAGAAGGATGCGCAACAGTCGGCCAACGATACGCCTGCGCCTGCGCCCACGTCTGCGCCTGCGCCTGAGGCTGCGCAACACCAGCCTAAGTCTGTCGCTAATGCGCAAGTCATGTTGAGGTAAGAATACTACCAACGTTGGGGATGCTATTACAATTATTGTACTAAATTTATTACTATTACACCTTGCTTAGTACGCAAATACGACAACAGATAAAACCTCCATAATCTAGTACGTTCTTCGATTCCATCCATGATAATGTAATATATAATGATGATTTCATCAAGAATATGAGTAAAGACCAACGATTTCGCATCTGAGAGACAGTGAAATGTCTGAGCTTTTTTCAACAATTCAAATATCAAACTTTTGATGAATATGGTCCAACCTTTAACGTGCTCACTGTATGAGAATTCACTTTCTATTTCTGTCAGAAGTATTTATTTTGTTTTATTTCACATTTTCATTGCTATATCGAGTTATTTATTGCGTTACATTTTTCGTTAAAGTAGTAATTGAGACAAAGACACTCAACTGAAGAATCAGATAAAAGGAGGAATATCTTCTAATATTCGCATCTTGACTTGATGAAACAAGGATTTGAAGATGAAGGTGACGTTAGGAAGTTAGGTTGACATTTCAGTTCGTCTGCTTCTTGTCGTCTTGTATTTCTGGAAACTCTAGGCATCACGCGGTTGCCAGGGCCAGAAAATAATCATCATCAGGAATATTGGGATATTTTTATTGGTACCAAAGCAACTTACGGGTATATAAGTATTCAATAAGTGATTATTAGGAACCAGGTTGAACTATTGCCTTCTGTGAATGTGAATACTGTTGTCACTGGTCAAATTGAATCTCATAAGGTTATCACTAGTGACAAATTTGACAGCGCCGAATTATGTGGTCCTACTTTTCACCTACATTCAGATAACGCTAACTTTCGTTTCGGTTCATGACGTCATCGAAGCTGGTGTTTTTCGATTGTGGCGAATTTCATTATTGAAATAAATATATTTGCGATGATTATAAATAACGAATGATTGCATCAAATACTATTCATAGACGGAATGAACAATATGAAATAAGTATGTGGCGTTGATTCGAATAGTGTTCGTTTTGGGTGTAATTTTTTTCATTGAATATTTTTTGATTTTCCTCATTGAATATCTTTTCCTGAGATCGTGCATAAAATTACTACTTTTTGCATTATTTAGTGTGCAAAAAATACTTTGTCACTTTATTGATTAGGTGAGAGTTCAATCTGAATACCTATTTTTTTGTAATATGAGTTTATACATATTGATATTGATATTAAAAAACAAGATGAAAAGGGAGTGGGCTCTGATCAATTTTTCTATTTATTCCAACTGTAACGTCAGTGATTATCAACTTTTTGTTACAAATGGCACCATACGTTGCTTATGACAAGAAGAGTTTTGTACCAAATTAGTTGAAATAAAAAATAAGTGCTCAGTTTACAAGAAATAAATACCGATTTTCAAACTATTTTGAAATGTATCATTAGAGGTGATAGAAAATGTCACTGAAATGAATATCGAATTTTCATTTGTCAGACAAGTTATATTTGGACACTTATACAGAGTGTTGCTACACAATTTCCTGGAAAACAAATTGGCACACAATTTGAGAAAGAAAAATCACTATTATACCGAGGCGGTGAACGAATATAACGCAGTTTTTTTGTTGAGAATCATGATTGCAGAAATGATTATTATTATTTTGTCAATTGAGTGAACTGTTTGATTGATTCATCTGGCAATCAGTTTAGTTGCAAGATTTATTATACAATAATAATAATAATAATAATAATAAGTTTATATACCAAAATGTTATTACAAAATTAACACTAGAATTGTTGTTGTAATGTAAACAAACATGGAAATCCCACTAAAACCAAAGTTGCGCGTGGGCTTTGCAATATTTAATTTACAATATTCCATATGCATATGATATTAAAAATAGAAGATAGTTTGAATTGGTCTCACTTTGTAACTATTAATATTGGTTCCTAACATTTTGACAATGATGGGATAATTGACAGATTTATCTAACAATTAGTCTGATTGCAAGATTCAATTTACAAATAGGGCCCAATTGACACATGCATCGGGTAGTTAGTCTTATAGGAAGATTTATTTCAAAATTCGAGGAAACCAAATTTTTGGAACAAAAGGGGGTGGCTCGTCGTCTTTTTGTGAAAGATTATTCTCTTACGAATAATTTGATACCACACACTTGCACTTTATATTCACTATTTTTCAAGGCAAGAAAAAATGTCAAACAATTTTAATTGAACTATTATTCACAACCCATAATAACTGTTCTTATATCTTCAAGAATAAGAAAAATATAGGGGTGGGTCACTTCGAAAAAACACCCGGTTATACAGAGAAGTGCACAAAAAACGGCCAGGACTGTGACTTTAGAATTATTCGAGATATGGTTTTGGAAATTGATGGACAGCTAGTATACCAAATGACTCATTGATTGACGAAACAATTTTTGTCATAGTTTTACTGAATAGGACACCCTGTATTGTATTCCATAATCGGTTAGGAATTGTCATAACGAATTCAACGATACCGGGTTTGATACGGTTATTTCAAACGATTAGGCAGATATTCGCGTTCTCACGTTCTAAGTTTCCATATGCTCAATGAGTGTGACAGAGAAAGAAGTTTTGATATTGCGAAGTCACACCTATTGAGCATATACGGAAACTTCGAACGCTAGTATCTTTGTAATCGTTTGAAATAACACTATCAAACCCGGTATCGTTAAATTTGTCATGATAATCCATAACCAGTTATGGAGTGAAATACAGGGTGTCCCATTTGAAAATCCAAATTTGGAGTCGTTTCCGGTGAAATTAGAAGTGATAAAAGATGAATTGTTTCATCAATTAATGAGCAATTTGATGTTCTTGCTACCTACCAATTTTCAAAACCATATCTAGAATAATTCAAAAGTTACAATCCTTGCCATTTTTTATGCACTTCTCTGTATACAGGGTGTAATTTAATTGCTGACTGATAATGGAGGATATTATTCCTCAGTTCATTTTAACAAGAGAAGTTCGAGTGAACATATGCCCTAAGCCTCTTAACTTTCGAGCAATTGGGTGTTAACATTTTAGGAAAAAATCGTGTTCTTACAACAACTTCAATACTGTTCTAGATAATATGTTCATTATATTTCACATGCACTTACCACAGGTTTGTTAATCTGTGCACTTACTGAGCACCAACAGGCATTATTTGATGAAGGAGAGTTTTCAATATTTCCACCAGTGGCATACGAATAATATAATACGCCCTCACTTTCTTCGATATCAAAAATCATTTTAGGAATCCTCATTTATTCTGCAACGATTTGTTTTCTTGATTTTTTTCCGTCAGAAGCACCGTTTTTGCGTACAAACATAAAAACCATTTTGGCTTTACTCGAATAAAAATTAGACAAAAATACATTTTACCTACAACGTTCCACATAGTGCTTAGTATAGGTGCATGTGAAATTTTATGAAAATATATTGAACAGTGTATTGAAGTTATGATGAGAATACGATTTTTTTCTCAAAATTTCAACACCCTATAGGTAGCCCGAAAGTTGAGAGGTTCAGGGCATATGTTCATATGGACTTTTTAACTCAAAATGAGCTGAAAAATCATATCTCATATTTTCAACCATCAATTGAATTATATATATATATTTTTTCTATACATAATAATAATATGACATTTTTGTATTTCTGTTTGATATATAAATATCTATTTTAGTTACTATCCACGTCACGATCAATCTCTGGACTTTGCGGTGTCCCTATGTTTATTCATATGATTCACTCATTATCACCTCATTAATTACAATCATTCTACTAATGCTACACTGTTATTATTATTGTTATGATTATTTCTGAATTAACCTATTATTATTATTATTATTATTATTATTATTATTATTATTATTATTATCACAGTGTGGATACTGTAACTGGAATAAATTCGTTAGCGGTCAGGTAAATATTCTGTCCAAAAATTCCCGACATACGTCAAAGATTCAATGTATTTACCTACCTTTTGCAAGCAGTATCGAGAATATATCCCTACAGGGGTAGCTGAAACCACTCTCAACATGATTTTTTCAAATGTAACCCTATGGCTTGTGACCCCTCATTGGAAAGCTGGTGGAAAGAGGAATCCAGCGTACTCTATTTGGATTTTAGTTTTCCATACGTATAAAGGTTGCATAAAATTGAAATGTATTTTAAAATTCAATCTTTATCAACGTAACATTCGCTCAAAATGTCTGTTGAACAATTGATGGCAATTTTTTGCCACAACTGCTATCTGCTATTATATTCCAGTGTTTTTATAGAGCCGCAAAAATAAATTCAGTTTTTTTTGCCGTATCCACATTTCGTAACGAAGTGTTATTGCAAACTGGTGGAGGATGCCCTATATCACTGTCACTAAAAGTCAAAATTTTGATGAAAATACGTTGAAAATATATCAAACTTTGAAATTATATTTTGATTTTATGCGACCCCCAAACGTACCGCAAACTGAAATATGATCAGTACGCTGAATTCCTCTTTCAACCAGCTTTCCAATGAGGGGTCGCATCAAGCCATAGGGTTGCATTTGGAAAAAAACATATTGGAGTTGATTCCAGTTACCCCTGAAGGGTAATTTTCTCCATATTGCTTGCCAAATCTAGGTAAATATATTTAAACGTTGACGTGTCTTGCGAATTTTCAGAAAAATCATTCACTCCCAGTTGAAGTTTCCACGCTGTATGAACGACAACTTGGAATACCCTGAATCACTTCCCTTTCATTTCAACCATTCTCATGATTCTCCTTTCCAGATTTGGTGGTGACGACATCCATGGCAAGAACTGCATCGAAGCCCCGGAAAGGGCCAGCCCATACCATCCCTGTCCCAACCCCCATCACAACCACCACCTCCAGGCGAACGACATCAGATACCACTCTCCTTACCCCCACCAATTTCTGCCTCCCCCGCCGCCGTACGGGTACCCCTATCCCCCCTACGCGTTCCCAGGAATGTACTATCCGACGGCCGAGTTTGGAGGACCTTATAGGGATCAAGGTCATCTGATTCCTGACAACGAAGATTCATGTGAGTCAAATAGGTCAATATAAAGCAATCGTCGACGAAACCGCAAAACCGAGTAACTGACAAAAATTCGAAAATGGGATTCTGGCGGCAATCGGTCTATCATATTGGTGGGGATGCGTATGCAGAACCTCGCAACTGGTAAAAAATTGTAAATATTTCAAAATCCATGAATACAGAACCCCTTATCTGAAAAACAAAATGAAAGGGGTCGTCAAAAACAAGTATCTAACAGTTGACAACGTGATTCACGCCTCTGATATTTTCTGTTCAATTTCTTTTCACGTAACTTCAATTGGTATTTCAACACAGGATGTGAGAATTTATCTCAAGTATTTGTTAAGCGGAAAGTCCGTGTTTTTGCGAATTACTTTTCTGAATAATTGTTGTTGCTTTCGCACAGAAGCAGATGTCAAAACCAAGTATCTTATACGCTGACAAACGTAAACAATTACTTTTCTCAATGATCAATGTACGAACGTAAGGATAATAATAATCAGGTGGATTGTTACTATTTTTTATTGAATTTGATCAGTTGACTCGAATTTATAAAGTTTGTCTTCTGAAAATTTTGGTTTTTGATGCAGTTACTTGGTTTTGCGGTTTCGTCGACGCAATATTCTTTTTACCTTGTTACATTCTCACTACTGAGATCAATTGAGTTAGAAGAAGGTGGGACGGATCTGAATTGTCGATTGAATAAAAAGCACATGTTTTTATCTGTCAGGAAAGGGCAAGGGGAGAAAAGATAACCCAATATTATTCAACCAAAATGTAAAATGACTGAGGAAAATAATGAGGTGCATAGAAATATCATTGTAGTGAGTATAATAATAGTCAATAATTAATAAACTATAATACTCACTGATTTTATAGAAATTCATTATTTTTTTCAAATAATGTAACCTGTGGTCAGAAACTTCAAAGCTGAAAGCATATCGAAATGAAAATAAAACCTCACAATTTTCAGCACAGAACCACAGAATTACTAGAATTAAATCAGTCTCACCTTTTCCTCATGATGTTCTCTGAACATTATAGGATATCCCTTTTCGTGGAAATCAGAACATAAAATAAACAACACCAGGTGAAAAGCAGGCTCAGTTGGGGTGAGGAGGAAGAAATAGTCTCAATAAGTTCCTGAGACAACGCATATCAGACTTAGATAAATGAAACATGTAATACAACTGAGCTAATGAGCTGCACTGAGAATCTTGGTTTATCTCAGTCAAATTTGGTGAAAAGAATATTACTATAGGGAAGTTCTTTCCGACAGAACAAAGTGATTCTGAGAACGTTCTTAGAATGTTCCCGTGAAAAATTTCGCGAATTTTCTCATAAAGTTTCCACAATAAGGAAGTCTAGAAGGAATGAAAATTTTTAAAAATGTTCTGTGCATTTTCTCATCGTGATGAACGTCATAGTATTTCTGATCTTCATTTGATCTCCGATGGCAAAAGCCATATTGTCTATCATCCAAGATTCTCAAGTTCGAGAGCTTCAATTATTACCAGAAATACTTTCTCAAACACGAATATTTAGAAAATTCTCCGTCGTCTTCTATTCTTTCTATAGATACTTCTATGGGAAATGTTCCTCGGAAATGTCTGCTTTGATTCCATCACAAGCAATATACCAGTCAGACAAACTCAACAGGTAAAATCAGCACACCTTCTCGTGGTCAACCTTGAAATCTGTTGAACACCACCTCACCAAAACTCTTTCATCCATGAAACGGCAAAGCTTCAGAATTATTTGACAATTAAAGTATTCCCAAGAACTTATAACCTCCAAGAGTTCAAGAAAAATTCCAACACCTACCTCCTCTTCCTATTCTTTCTAGGTACGAACGATGTTCTTAAAATATTATATGAATTGTTTTTCGAGCGCTTCAAGAGATGAAAAAATACTTAGGAGATATCTGATATCAGGGCATCAAGGCAATAGGCCTATAACTGTTGTTTTTTTTTTTTTTTTTGGAGAGTGGATGGACTCTAGTTATTTTTCCGCAGGATGATTTTGTCTACAGGGTTCCATCTTAAAATTTTGGAATAAATTATGTTGGTGCCACGAGAAATAAGAGAAGTAAACTTGGATGTTCAGAAGTGGAGTAATAGCATTCATATTTAATGAACATTGTATGCGAAATTTTCTTCAGTACTTTACAATTAGATTCAAGTTCTACAATATAAAGCAACCTCAATGTGGAAAATGATATATCTGGAAAAATATCAGGTATCACATAAAGGATAATCAGTTTTCATAGGGCCATCGAACCCATCGAGCTATTAGTAGTTGCAGACGGTCGGCTACTGCTAGTTGATGAATTGACATTTGTCAGCTGTCTAATTTTATGGCCTGTCTTACATGTGAATCGGTTTGTGACCTTCATAGTCTGATATTCCTTCCAGTACAAGATGGCGAGCTTGAATTTTGATAGCTCTCCGAGACCTTGACAAAATTGTAATATGTTGTTATTGTACCATCTTCATTTTCCTCCCTGGCTGTTAGAATTATATGGAGGTTAGGACCCAATATGAACTCGAATTCATCAGTTTGCAAAATCACCAGCAAACGTATTTTTCACCAATCAAGCATTCAGCTTCTCTATCGTTCCACTTGTTCTACATCATGACATTTTGGTTTCGAACACTGTCTCATATTTGTCCTAGCTTTTATGGAATTAGTGGCTTTGAAGTGGCTCTATAAAATGTATGGAAGCTTCAATCAGTTTTGATGATAGCACAGCTCGTTTTCTTTACTCAGAAGCCTTGTCGAAGCCATATCTAGGGAGTAGGTACCTATACCATCTTCTATGGCATGTATTATGCATATATGAAATAAACGAAAACAATACATTCAATATTTAAATCCTCAATATTTCCAACTCAACATCATATGATTGAAGATGGAGTAACAAAAACGATATTATCTGCAACGTATTGATTTGAATACCTGAAGGTTTACCTCTGAGGACTGAATCTCAATCAATACGAAGTTGTAGATATATTATGATTCTCATCAAAGTATTTCTACTAAATATCCTGATAATATTCGTTACTTTACAGGTTCTTGCAGCGAAGAATCCAAGGCTTTTTTAGAAAAAAGCGACGTTTGCGAAGACGCAAACACAAATCATCCAGAAATCATTCCAGCCATCGATCTGACCGAAGAAGCCATCCCAGAATGTCAAAAATGCAACGGAAGTCCAGTAAAGCCTCCTACAGAGAAGATTCCGCATCAATGTCATCCTCAGAGTGAAACTGGCCCTGTCCCCTTCCCAGGTTTCAGAGACGACGTGAAAAAATCTGAAGAGGTTGTATGCGTTGAGCCTCCGAAGAACATCGACCCCAAGAAGCATGAATGTGATAATAAGAATGATAAAGGCCCTGTCCCATTCCCAGGTTTCCGTGATGACGTAAAAGAATCTGAAAACAGCAGTGAATCCTGCTCTAGCGCTTCCAATTCTCCAGATAAACTGAATAAAGAACACGCCAAAGAAGGAAAATGGCCTGAAGTCATTTACGTCAAGCCCCCAACGATTGACCACCACCATCATCATCATGATCATACCCACAAAGAAGCAGACATAATAGCAAAAATTGAACACACTAAGGCAGAGATATCGCATGATATCGATCATATCAAGCACCTAAAGGAAGAGCTACACCATCATCAGCATCATACAACTTGTCCCCCAGTCCATCATCATCATTCCCCATACAACCCTCCTGTTATAGTTAAGAGTGAGCACGCTAACGAGGATAAATTGCATAAAATCGAACAAATCAAGCACTTGAAAGATGAGATAAACCACCTTCAGCATCATACAACTTGTTCTCCGGTATACCATCATCATCCCAATGAAGGATTCAACCCAAAACATCCTCCAGCTATAGTAAAAAGTGAACAAGCTAAGGAAGAGATATTGCATAAAATCGATCACGTTAAGCATCCAAAGGATGAGCTACACCACCTTCAGCATCATACAACTGGTTCTCCAGTCCACCATCATCATCCCCATGAAGGCATCAAGCCATACATTCCTCCGGTTATAGTCAAAAGTGAACACGCTGAGGAAGAGAAATTGCATAAAATCGAACAAATCAAGCACTTGAAAGATGAACTAAACCACCATCAGCATCATACAACTTGTTCTCCAGTCTGCAGTGATTCCTCAAGTCCTCAGAACCATCATCACCATCCTCTTCCCCATGGAGAAACCTGCCCAAAACATGTCCCAGATGTGAATAAATGTGAACACTCCAAGGAACAGAAATGGCCTGAAATCAAGCACTTTGAGCATCCAAAGAACGAGTGCCACGAACATCAGCATCACCATGGGCCTCATGGGGAACCCAGCAAACATATCCCACATATAGTAAATATTGAACACGCGAAGGAAAATAAATGGCCTGAGGTAACTTACATCAAGCCTCCACATATTGATCACTACCCACATGATCATCACAAAATCATTCCTGTGGTCAGCAGTCCTCCAAACTATCCATACCATCACCATCCCCATGGAGAAACCAGCCCGAAATATTTCCCAGAGATAGTGGAAAAGCAACAAGCTGAGGAGAAGAAATGGCCTGAGGGCATTTACCACCACCATCAGCATCCTCAAGTGATCTTCATTGACAAAGTCCTCCCAATCGCTCATCCAAAAGAAACCCGCTATGTCGACATTCTCTCGGGAGAAGATGACTGTAGGAAGTGCAGGACTCATCCCAATGAATTGGAAGCCTGGTTGAATAGATCTGTTGTACCATACGACTGCCAGGTGTGTGGTCACAGGCCGAAGCTGCTGATTACTTACCCCTTAACATGCAATGGCGCCCCCAATGAGCACGATGAAGATATCAGGGTTTCTGGATGCCAATGTTGCCGCAAGCATGGATTCTGTGACTGCTGCAACTGCCACAGGAATCCGAGTATCCCGTTCGGCCAAAGGTTCCCTAGCGACATGGATTCCTTGCATCGGGTTGTGAGACCAGCCGTTCCCAATGAACTCGATGAGAACATCAGGACTTCTGGATGCCAATGTTGCCGCAAGTATGGGTTCTGTGACTGCTGCAATCGCCACAGAAACCCGAGTATCCCGTTCGGCCAAAGGTTTTCTAGCGACATGGATTCCTTGCATCGGGTTGTACGACCAGCAGTTCCCGATGTACAAGTCTATTGTGATGAACGGAGACCTAGAGATTTCTCCACTGGCTACACATCCGGTTCTGGATCGTCAATATGCGCAAGCGTGTCCCAAGTAGGCAATCAACCTCCTAAGACCTACATCAACGGCTACACAACCTCAGAGGGCTGTGGACATTATTCGGATCCAACTAAAGACATTTACTACCAGCAGCCTAAGGTTGTCAATGTTATAAGAACACCAAATCCATGCTTACCGGTGGTTGAACATACTCGGTTCGAGCAACCGAGCTGTTACTCTATCGTACCCAAGAAAGTAACGCCGGCATGCGTTCCGGATTTGGTGCCTACAGACGTTTTCGTTTGCAAGCAGTGCGGTACTCCACATCATCCCAGAATGGTGTGTCACAGGGAGTATGTTCCAAGGGGTGTAATTGAAGGAGCTAGGAATCATTTGGGGCATGGAGAGCCTTGCCAAGGTGTTTTCAGGGTGCCTTTAGTGAGAGGAGATGTTGGACCTGTGAGGGAGAATATCAGGGAGGTTCCTGTTGTACCTGTTGTTCCTGTGAGAGAAGATGTGAGGGAGGTTCCTGTTGTTCCTGTGAGAGAGTTCGTGGCAGTAGGTCCTCAAACTTACGAGGTCTGCAGGAGGTTTCCTAGACAGGCCAATGCCACGGAAATAGCTGCTGACAAATGAGTATAAGGACCACCAACTTTTTTTTCGACTGTGATAATTATTTCAATGATTAAGTAGTGTTACGGATGTTATTTATTTTTTAAGGCAATTTTTTATTATTCGTTTATTTTTGTTTTGTTAATAAAATTTGAAAAAATAATACTTCTGTTTGTTTCTGGAATCGATAATAACTGCCATAGTGTTAACAACTTGCCTTTTAAAACAAAAATTCTCTATTCATGGTCTTTTGAGGACTACAAAATTATATTTTGATGTGATGATTTTTTCGATGATCAATTTATTTCTTTCGACAATTTTGTTATTATTCGTTAATTTTTGTTTGTCAATAAAATTTGAAGATCAATGACTTCTTTTTGTTTGTGGAATGGGGAGCAACTGCCACAGTTTGATCACTTTTCCTTTCAATAATTTGACACAAAAACTCTTCACTCTAAAACAGAACGATAATCCATATGGAATATAGCTATTTGTGCAGTAAGGGTGTTATAATAGCTATTCATATATCAATGGAGAAAAGGGATATTTCCGCCCGCGTGTGAAGTTTGATGCACGACGCGTAGCAGAGAGCATTAAACACACTTGGGAGGAAATGAACCTTTGCTCCTATGATATATGTATATATATTTATACAGGGTGTTTCACAGATAAAGGGAAATATTTCAATGGTAGGTACATAGGGGTCACCAAGGTGGTTCTGAAAATACCATATTTGATAGGTCTTAGAGTCTTCATAACGGAGATACAGGGCGATTTATCGATTTCGAATAATTATTCATTCGTCTATAAGTATTGAACTACCCAGTATATTTTTATAAAATTTGGTATGGAGCTTATACTTGGTACGTTGAATTCATTCACCTATCGGGCGGAGTGAAAATCCAGGTTCGGCTTCAGGAAAAATTTACATTTATTCGAAATATTAAAATAACACACTGTATGTAATAATTGACAGAGTTCATCAAAGGAATCGTCAAGAGAAGGAAAAACTGAACTGGATTTGATGCTTTTTGTTTTCCCGCCACCAATCCTCATCGTAACAATCATAAACAGAAAGCTAAAAGTATGTGAATTTGAAGAGAATTGAAATTATGAAACCACTTTCGAATATGATTATTTGATATATTCTTGTTGAATGGTCGTTCGAAAGAACTCAGTGAGTCTCACAGTCTTTATAACAGAGATACAGGGTGAATTATCGGTTTCGAATAATTGTCCACTGGTCCATAAGTATTAAACTACCCATCGCAGTAATATTTTCTCAAATTTGATATTGAGTTTACTTGGGACGATAGATTCATTGACCTATTAGGCAGAATGGAAATACAGGTTCAGCTTCAGGAAAAGTGTCATATAGTCTTTATAACAGAGATACAGGGTGAATTATCGAATTATAATTATTTGGTATCATTTCCATTCCGCCTGTTAATGAATCCATCGTCCCAAGTAAGCTACATAAGAAATTCTAGAAAATGTTACTGGGTAGTTTAATAATTATGGACGAGTGAATAATCATTGAAAACCGATAATTCACCTTGTATCTTCGTTATGAACACTGTGGGACTTAGTAATTTCTTTCGAGCGATTTTTTGACTAAAATATCGAATAATCATAGTTGACACTGGTTTCATAATTTCAATACTCTTCAAATTGACATACTTTCAACTTTCTGTTTATGATTGTTACGATGAGAAATGGTGGCGGGAAAACAAAAAGCATCAAACCCAATTCAGTTTTTCCACCTCTTCACAATTTTTTTGATGTACAATGTTAATTACTGAATACAGTGTGTTATTTTAATATTTCGAATAAATGTAATTTTTTCCTGAAGCCGAACCTGGATTTTCACTCCACCCGATAGGTCAATGGATCCAACGTCCCAAGTATATAAGCTCCTTACCAAATTTGAGGAAAATAAGCTGGGTAGGTCAATACATATAGACGAATGAATAATTATTCGAAATCGAAAAATCGCCGTTTATCTCCGTAATGAAGACTTTAAGACCTATCAAATATAGTATTTTCAGAACCACCTAGGTGACCCCTATCTACCACTGAAATATTTCCCTTTACCTGTGAAACACCCTGTATACTGTGTGTCTCATTTCTAATGGAAACACCCCTCTATCTTACGTAATCGTTGGGTAAGGATCCTGAAATTTCCTGGAGCGAGAGATATACCAAGAACGCACTCTATGACCAAGTGGAGTCATTTTCAGCGATGTACACTGCTCGCCAACAGCCACGGAACCACCCCAATCTCCGGAAAATTATATTAGGAGTCAAAATAGGTTGAAAATTACTTCGGATTCAGAATGAGGACGCCCAACTTACTCACTATTCATATTCTTCCTGATAATTTTCCAGTTCTGAAAATTTCATTTTTGTCTCACTTTTCATGGAAACACCCCCGTATCGTACGTAATCGTTGGGTTAGGATCCTCAAAATTTTTCTGGAGTGAGAGATAATAATATATCAAAAATGCACTCTATGATCAAGTGAAGTATTCTTCAGTGATAAACACTGCTTGCCGACAGCACTGGAAATACACACATGTCCGGAAAATGATATCAAGAGAGAAGATGTTGTTAAAAATCACTTCGGATTCGAAAGTAGGACGTCCAATTCACTAACATCCCATATTTTGACAATGTTTCATCGGTAACTCTACATCCTATTGACGAATTCATTCATTCATAATTAATTTCAATGACACCCGTAATGATTTCTGATCCATTGGATCACTCCTGATAATCTATTTGATTTCACTAGTTCTGATTTTGATTTTATTCTTCCTGATGAGAACTGACTTTATGATCATCAATTTCAGAATAACCATCGAGTGAATTTTCCGATTCAATACATTTTTCCTTCTGGAATGCCGATTGTTCTGTTCTGATGTCTTGCTGGTGAACAGTGTATCATTGAAGATGATCCTCTTGGTCATTGGTTTCTTTCTTGGGCTTAAGAATTTCTGACTCCTATTCTGCCGCTTAGGGTGTGATGAGAACTCGACCTCCCTGCCGATTGATCGACGGACGGCCCGTTGGCTCAATTGGCAGAGCGTTTCGCATCTAACCCAGAGGTTGTGAGTTCGACTCTCACACGGGGCGGTGGAGTTTTTTCATTTTCCATTGTCACTCGAAATCAGGGCTTTCCATCATTTTCATTATTATATGTATCTTTTCGGTCGAGTAACCGACAAAAATTATCACCCACTCCTATGTATAGATTGCTTGCGGACATTTCCGTATACAAAGGAAAGACAATGCCAGAGGACGAACGGGGAAATATGGAGACTGTATAGTACCATCCTGCCAGCGATGCTTCGTTTAGTGCATGATTCCGAGTGACTTCGGGAATTGGAAGGATTCTGCTGTTTAATGTGTGGAGAACTCGACCTCCCTGCCGATTGATCGGGAGCATCCCACGATGCCCAATTCCTACGATGTCCACCTTCATGTCGAAGATCACGAAAATTTCCGAAGAGCGCAACGTTGCCAGGTCAAGAAAAAAATTCAGAAAACACAAGATTCTCACCATGCCCACTTCTCATATATTCCCACGATGCCCAATTCCCACCATGCCCACTTTTCATACATTCCCACGATGCCCAATTCCCACCATGCCCACCTTCTTCAGATTCCCACCATGTCCACTTCTCATACATCCCCACGATGCCCAATTCCCACCATGCTCACTTTTCATACATTCCCACGATGCCCAATTCCCACCATGCCCACTTTCTTTAGATTCCCACCATGCCCACCTTTCATGCATTCCTATGATGCCCAATTCCCACGATGCCTGATCCCCACCATGCCCACCTTTATCACGGTGAGAATCCAAAGAAGGTGGGCATAATGGGAATTGGGCATCGTGGAAATGAATGAACAGTGTGCGTCGTGGGAATCTGAACAAGGTGGGCATGGTGGGAATTGGGCATCGTGGGAATGTATGAAAAGTGGGCATGGTGGGAATCTAAAGAAGGTGGGCATGGTGGGAATTGGGCATCGTGGGAATGTATTAAAAGTGGGCATGGTGGGAATCTTGTATTTCCTGATTTTTTTCTCTTGACCTGGCGACGTTGCGCTCTTCGGCAATCTTCGTAAATGTCGACATGAAGGTGGGCATCGTAGGAATTGGGCATCGCGCCACGCAACCGATTGATCGACGGACGGCCCGTTGGCTCAATTGGCAGAGCGTTGCGCATGTAACCCAGAGTTCGACTCTCACACGGGGCGGTGGAGTTTCTTCATTTTCCATTGTCACTCAAAATTAGGGCTTTCCATCATTTTCATTATCATATGCAGAGATTATACAGATCAATAATCTCTGTCATATGTATCTTTTCGGTCGAGTAATCGACAAAAATTATCACCCACTCCTATCATATTTTTGTTACCTTCCTTTTTGATATAAAGTTAATTTGAAATGTATTATTGACTAGCAGTTCGACCAGCTTCGTACGGTTGGTTTACCCATCATTTGAACGCAAATGAGACATTTCTTGCAGTCGTTCTGAGCCATGCGCGTATCCACAGTACATATTCTTCTATTTTTGAAATTTGTGTGCTCACCTATAGCTACTATTATATGCTCACACCTATTTGCATTCTCTCAGTATCATTTGTATTTTTGTTGTTGTTTTATGTATTGAGAATTTCAACTTAATCGGTCAAGCCGTTTAGTAGTTGACGTACTGACAGCAGCGCCACCTACTGCGTCCTATTGTATTTTGGTATCATCCAGGAAACCATCGATATACCATTTCAACACAAACGGTTCGGCCGTTCAGAAGTTATGTGAAAAAGATGAGTATGGAAGGATAATTCTTACTACCTGTTGTCCTATTACCCGTTACCCGATAATGTCGACTTCTAATGGTGGAAGAATTTTTCAAATTCGGTCCAGTAGTGTTGGAGCCTATTCAATACAAACAAACAATCGAATATTCCTCTTCACAATATTAGCATAGATTTACCAAAAAGTTTCTGTTTACGATATGTTCGAATTCCATAAATGTTATTATTCTTCAGTTGATTTGCCTTCATTTCTGGGGCCCTTACTTTGGCGCTCTGTTCAGGACGTATACTACTCTGGTTATTGGAGGAGGGGGGTCTCGGGCGCCAGATTGTTCATGAGGTAGTTTACTCCACCTGCTCTGCACAAAGAATTTTTGTGCAGAGACCCAAAGTAGCAACAGTGGAGACAGGGGCAGGAGGTATACCTACCTCGGTACCTACAGTATTAACCAGGGGTCAAATGTTATTGAATCGACCTGGAATCGATAAGGAGCCAAGGGAGTGTAGGCCTTAATTACAAACCCTGGGTTTAGCCTGAAATA